ATACCGGCCAAAGAGTGGAGACACTTCGTATCGTACTGTACATTGCCGAAAATTCGTATGAAATACTCATCAAACATATCATCAGACGGAGTCACTTATTTTCTGCATAATGCACGCACGATCCCACAATGTTAAATTGACGTGTGAAACTATAGGAAGATACGCATAGAGATAAATTTCGGTAAAGATATAAGTTAGTGAATAGAAATTGTGACATTCACTCAATTGACTTTTAATGATGTCCAACTCAACGGAATTATTGCCTGACAGTGATAACAATCATGATAGAAATACGTAAGGTATGTCTTCCCGGTGGTATCATTTTTGTCACTGCGTACTCCGTACGATGGCCATATCGAGAAATGATCACTCATTGATTTCGAAAATAAAAACTGATTAAAACGACAAAAATACCAAGCTCCGCTGTTAAAAGTCGTTAATACTGGAATGGTAATACTGAAAAATTAGTGCGATGCTTGTAGCCGAGAAAACGTAAATTTAAAAAAGCTGATAATTCTTAGGAGTGTTATAAAATTTTTAAACAAATTTACAAATTGTAATTCCGATTTTTTAAGTTAAAAACTAATTTTAACTTGCAATGTTCTATAATTATCTTCCTTTTAACGCAAAATACAATTAATGAGTAAGAAAATATGGCGATTACATGCAAGGACTTGTAACTGGTAGTTCCACTTAGCTGCATAGCAACACGTCTTACGTATTTCCACCAGGATAGCAATATCTTGGTAAACAAATGACACTGTTCCAACATTTACATATTCCATATTAAAAGATACAGAGACTAAAAATCTTCAAATATATCACAAAAACTAAAAATCTGTTTTAATACATTCTTCACCGACGACAATTAAACTTCTGTCATGGTCAAAGACATGTAACAAACTGAGCGTTTACCTGGGAATCTGGATGTAATCTGGGAAAGGGAGAAAGAGTAATGGATAGCGTGGTTTTTTCTTTCTATGAGTAAAGAGTGGGGTAATGCGAGAGAGACGGAATTGAGCATGTCATCTCTTTCACATGCGCGGCCAACTGAATAACATTGGTCGCTTGGTCTATCCTTATGTCTATGGTCATGGTGTCAAAACTTTGTTGATCGGTTACGAGTTAACTCGCCAACGCTCCGCCTTCGTTTCGCGCAAACTCCGTTCGGTCAGAGAATGGACTCTTCCTCTATATTCCCCTCTTCCTCTGTATTATTAAATACAATTCTATATATTGAATATATAATTCTAAATAACGAATCTATATATGCTATCTATTAATGCATTCACTCTATGCCATAGATTGCAATTGTTAATATGATATGCAATTGTTATTTAGCACACGAAATACTTCTTTAGCTAATATTTAGCTAATAAAATCCGTCAAGGTGTATCCATTTTTTTATGAAAAAGAAACTTCAACTATGACGAAATGTAACGACGAAGAATTCCTCAATGAATTATAAGCGCGAGAGAGGTTAAGAGTGAGGAAGCGCGCAGTTAAAAAGGTACAAGAAACCAGATGCTCAGGACTTCGGGATTCGAACGCCTTCGTTTGGGCCCACGGCCGTGTTGCTTTTTACGATATTTTTACATTACTTATCCTGGTTCTAATTTTAGAAAAGTACAAATTCCGATGAATTTTCGTGGAAAAAAGAAGCAACAAAATGTATACTACTCATTGTTTGTTTTCAATCAGCATTGTTTCTCACGTTGTGTGCCGCGATGCATAGATACGTCGTGAGAATACTTCAAGTATATCACGAAAATATCAAATATTTTCTACTTCGGTTTCTTTATTTTATTTTAATGTATTCTATTTAATATATAGTGCTGATTTTCAATGGAGATGAGCCCGCTCGTCTTCGACATACGATCGTCGCGACATCCCCTTCACATCTCAAGTATCCCATATTTTTCACACTACCTCGGAGATGATTACGAGGGATCGGTAGCCGAAACTGTCTGCTCAGACCCCAGAAGCATTATCAAAGATGGAACACGATAGGGGAGCATATTTCTTTTCTTCGTTCATTTTTTATTTTTCTTCTCTTCGTCACTGTGCGCGCTAGCATTCCCGTGCGCAGATCGACGGTGTGGCAAGTCCATCAGTGTGCGCAAGATCGTAAAAACGACCTTTTGAAGTGGATTTGCGCGGATGCGCGGCAACGCCGTTGTACAAGTGAGTTGTTACTGTCAGAAGTGTGATACACCTTGCGCGTGAAACCCATTTGTGCAATATTATACATATATGAATAGACGTTGTAATATATTGTAAGTTGTGTGAATTGTTAACGTGACTTGGTGACGTGAAATATGAAGCAGGAGACTGCCTCTACGTCTCGTAGACACTCGCGGGATAGTTCATGGCACCGAATGCAGAAGGGCGAACGATTTCGCGAGGAGAATCGGCTAGGGTCGCGTGGTTGTTCGCGAGACGATTCACAAAATCAAAGGAACAATCGTGGACGTGATCAATCGCATGAACGGCGACGCGATTATTCAAGAGATTGTGCTACGATTCGCGAACAAGGAACGTCACGAGGCCGATGGTCGGATAGCCGGTCGCTATCACGAGAGACGACGGAATCTTCATTAGATAGTTCTTCAGACGAAGATCTGCAAGCGACTGCTAAACGATGGAGGCGCGACCTGAGACTTATGCAGTTGAGGCCGATTGGAGACGAGTTCGCGGTTCCGCAATTCGACCCCGCGAATGTCGAACAATTGGTGCGACAAGTGGACCGACTCGCACGTCGTTACGTGTGGAGTGACGAACATACTGTAATAGTGGTCATGAAGAACTTGAAGGGGTACGCGTATAGGATTTTCGCCGAAGAACTAATGGAGGACCCGACGTGGAAATCCTTGAAATCGGCACTTGTTCGACAATTAAAACAGTCACTACCCTTCGCGCAGTTGTTGAAGGAAGCGGCGAACTATTCGGCCAGTCCCGGTCAAAACTTGGGCGATTATTGTTCTCAGAAACTTTCAAAGTTACGGGTGTTAAAATTAAACATCCCCGATGCTTTTTGGAGGATGCAATCATTGGTGGAATCGGGGACGAAAATGTCGTGCGGACGATTCGTTCAAATCGGTTCGAAAATGTAAATGAATTGTATACCATTATGAGTGACATGGGAACGATGCCAGTCGCAGGGACTATCAATGAAAAGATCGCACCGCGCCAGGTAGCGACTACGCGAGGGGTAGATCACGTCCGGCAATCCCCAGAGACTTCTACGACGTCGACGTGGGCCACTGAATCGGAGCAGAAGGAGATGGATCAACGATCTTCGGTGATCTATTTCAATTGCGGCGAAGCCGGGCGCCACGCAGCTAAGAGCACCAGGACCGCTGCTACTTGCGGAAGCTTCGATACACATCTGAGCAAGTTCTCCCTCCAAGCCAATCGGATCAATAACAGAAGGGTGAGTGCAGCTAATACGTATGTGCACGGTGCTCGAGTAAGATCGCCAGCGGCCGCGTTTACGCTTCACTGCAACCCGAGTTAGTTTGACGGTGTTTATTGAAGAAAAAAAGCTTTTCACAAATTAACCTTGTCGCTACGGGCGGGTTCTCCGCTACGTTACTCCCGCTGAACAGCTGCAGTTGCCCGTAGTACGTCAGCGGCATTTTATGCAGAGCGACTATAGTCGCCCATAGTAGCGAAAGGGTTAAAAACGTTAATACAGAGGTGTTCAGCATAGGCTCTGGCCGGCAAATCTTTCAGCCAATTATTGTCTTCTTATTGTTGAGGAATCGATTTCCCTGCCGTTTACATGCAAATTTTTATCGCTTCTCTAAGCTTAAAAAACCTGTCATGAGTGCCTGGCTTATTTTATTTGAACCACGAGGGTCGGCCCCCCCCCCCCGCTATTGAATGCCCGCGAGCAAACTCGCGGGCAAAAGAGGACTGCCCTTGCCAGAACTGCTCATGACAGGTTTTTCAAATGTTTTCTGAATCTGAACTCGGACGTGTATATGTCAAGTGATTGACAATGTTATAAATACAAGTGATTCGATAGAATACTGAACTTCTATCCTCACCATAGTTTTTACTACAAGATAATACAAATAGAGAGAGAGAATATAAAAAGAAGGATAGAAATCCCCCATAGCTTCTCGCTTCTTGGAGCATCGTCGCTACTCTTCTATCTTACGACTTTTGACAGCCGCGCACACTCCAGATATTTTATATAGTCCAATGGTTACAATACTTTCGATCAAACGATTGTCACTATTAGATAGACACATGAACACTATTCACGTGACATTCTGCGACACGTAAAACGGGATGGTTCCTTTACGACTGCTCTAAGATGATTCCATTTGCACGGCGGTCAGAAACAAAATACTATCGATGCCTAAACGCAGTGTCGGATCACAAAAAGAAATAATGTATGATTTCAATAATTTACATTTTACATATTTAGTTTTCCTAACACAATTTTTTACATTCTATTAATTTCCTTGTTCATTTCTCAAACATGCGTTTTAAAATAATAATGTAAAATAAATATCAAATGGTCGCGACATATTACGCATTAATAGTGTAGACGTATTTCACATTACACTCCTGCGGGAACCATGCGTTCTTTTGTTAACTTCCCAACAATCAGTTCGTAGCCGTTATCCTGTGGCAAGTGCGTCGCGTAAAGGATTAAAAGACTTCGAAATTATTGTGCGCTTACAATTAGTGTTTCGTGTCTTGTGCGTGTGTGTGTGTGTTTGTGTGATTTTTTTCAGGGGAAAGCAAGAGAGAAGACAGAAAAGAGAAGACAGAAGAGAGAAGAGAAAAGAGAGAAGCAACAGAGAAGAGGAAGGATGCCGAACGAATTTTCAACGATTGAACTCGCGAACATACACCTTATTTACGGAGAAGCGCGCTGCAGCACGATTAGAGCACGCGAAATTTATGCTGAAAGATTTCCTCATCGGAGTCTGCCGGATAGGAAAACTTTCCTTCGCGTGCATCAAAGAGCGCGCAGTACCGGCATGCTGGTGCGATCTCGATCAGGAGGTCGTTCCCAACAGAATTCGGATTTAGAAGAACGAATTCTGAGCCACATCGAAGAGGATCCGACGATGAGCACGCGACAAATTGCGACTATGGAAGGCGTGAGCCATACAACCGTATGGAGGACGTTGAAGGATCAACAGATGCACCCGTACCATTACCAGCGGGTGCAACAATTAGAAGAGGGTGACCCAGAGCGCCGAAGAAATTTCTGTAGCTGGATGCTGCAGAAATTGCGCGAGAATGAAAATTTTATATCGCAAATCCTCTTCACCGACGAAGCAGGATTTGACAGGAGTGGCGTGTTCAATCTGCACAATGAACACGTCTGGGCAATTGAAAATCCACACGCAGTAGTGGAGAGGCATTCTCAACGACAATTTTCCTGCAACGTATGGGCAGGAATTGTCAATGAGACTCTTATTGGCCCTGTTATTCTACCGAATCGTCTAACAGGTCAATATTATTTGGATTTTCTGCAAAATGAGTTACCGGAACTCTTAGCAGACGTACCACTGTCGACGCGACGAGACATGTGGTACATGCATGACGGAGCACCGCCACATTCAACGACTGCTGTAACTAATCACCTGAATTCCACTTTTGGGGAGAAGTGGATTGGAAGAAGAGGACCTGTACCTTGGCCTGCGCGATCTCCAGATTTGAACCCCTTAGATTTTTTCTTCTGGGGTCATTTTAAGACGCTGGTGTATTCCACACCAGTAAATACGCTCGAAGACCTGGTGCTGCGCATACAATTTACAGCCGGTATCATAAAAAATGTGACAGGTGACTTTAAAAAAGTGAACGACAATTTTCGGAAGAGGATTCAATTGTGTTTAGAGCAGGACGGTGGACACTTTGAACACCTGCTCTAAGTGATCTGACTGTGGACACTGCGGACGGGACAATCGCGGTGCATCTTGCACATAGACACTCGCGGCCGGGACAATCGCGGTGCATGTGTTTGTGCGTAGAGGTGTATGTTATTTCTGGACACTGCGGACGGGACAATCGCGGTGCAT